CCCTCCCCCCTTCCCTTCCCTCGCTTCTCCGTCCCCCCTTCCCCTGTTCTCTCTTCCTCTCCTGTCTTCTCTCCCTTCTTCCCCCTTCCCCCCTCCTGCCCTCCCCTTTCCCCCACTTTAGCCCTCTCACCCTTTCCTCATCTCCCCCACCCCCCATTCTAGCTGAGCCTTTGTTCCCGCTGAACCCTGGGTAAAGGGTTCTCTTCCACTTGCTGGTGAGGCTCTGTGACCCTCCCCTGACCCCATCCAGGACAGGATGCAGGGTGCTCCACGCAGGCCACAGTGCGGCCCCCAGGGCCCTGTGCAGGTCATGGGGGTGTAAATGCTCACCACCTGGGGAGGCCGGGGTGCCTGCATTCTGGGCCAGGTTAGGGCAGCAGCAGGTGGCTGCTGGGAGCCCCTCCTGGGGCCAGGTGGCCCGGCTGCCTAGGGCACGGCCCAGTGTGTGTGGGGGGGGTGATTGGGGGTGTATGCAGTAGGGGAGGAGGGAGGAGAAAGATGTCCCTGATGAAGCTGGTTTGGGGGGATTCTGGAAATAGAGGAGCTTAGGAGCCCCGGTGGCGCCGTGGTTAAGAGCTCAGCTGCTGACCCAAAGGTTGGCAGTTGGGATCCACCAGCGGCTCCTCGGAAACCCTGTGGGGCAGTTTTACTCTGTCCTGTGGGGTCACTGGGTCAGAAGCGACTCAGTGGCGACAAGTTTGGAGTTTGTGAAGTGCTCATGGTGCCCCAGGGTTGCGCCCACAGAGAGCGGGCGTGCCGGCAGGGCGGCGGGGGCCGTCCACATGGTGGTCAGAGCAGGCCCAGAGCCCTGTTACTGTCTGTGTGTGCGTGTGTGTGTGTCTGTGTGTGTGTGTGTGTGAGTGTTTGTATGTGTGTATGTGGCGGCCCTGGGAGCTGTCTAGGCTTAGGCTTCCTTGCCACTCCCCCACCCCCACACAGAGAGGATGGTGAGGGTACTGTCCCCATTATTCACAGTGAGGTGGGGGGGCTGTGCTGGCACACCCACTGCAGGAACGGCCCCTTCTGTCAGCTTCCGTCAGAGTGGCCCCACTGTGATGGGAGTCATGCCATATTGCGTGGTCCCTCTGCCCATATTGCAGAAGGGAGTGCCCCACCATGGCCCGCAGCCATCCTGCTGGCTGGGGCTCCTCCATGTGATGGGAGTTGTCAGGTGGGACAGGGACAAACTCACATAGCTCTTGTTCCCACAGTCTGCAACTTCATGTCCCATGAGAAGTGCCTGAAGCACATGAAGACCCCGTGTGCCTGCGTGGCACCCAGCCTCGTCCGGGTAAGTGCTGGTCTGCAGGGCCCGGCCACTCTTCTTGCTGGGGCGTCTTTGCTGCCTGGTGGGTGGGTCGGCTCTTTTCTAGATCATGCTGCTGAGATACTTGCTGTCCACCTTAACGCTATGAACTTTGTTGTGTCCATTGTTGAAAAGTAAAGGATGGAATAAACCCGTAAAACCAAACTCATTGCCATTGAGTTGATCCAACTTGTAGCAGCCCTGTAGTATAGGAAGTGGAATGCTACTCGGCAATAAAATGGAGCAAACCATAGATACACTCAACAGCCTGGCTGCCTCTTCGGGGAATTGTGCTGATGAGAAAGTCAATCCCAAAGTTACATACTGGATGATTCCACTTGGGGAACCTTCTTGGAAATGGCAGAGTTTTAGAGATGGAAAACAGATTAATGGCCTGTGATCTACTTCCAAAAAATCATCCATTGAAAACCCTACGGAGCACAGTACTCCTCTTACACACATGGGGTCACCATGAATTGAAGTCTGCTCGACTGCAGCTGGTTAGGGGTTCAGGAGGGGTGGGGTGAGAGGGGAAGTGGGCGTGGCTATAAAAGGCACCGGGAGGGATCCTGTGGGGGTGGAACGCATCGTGTTGTGACTGTCACAGTGTCAGTATCTTGGTGATAATCTCGGACTGTAGTTTTGCAAAATGTTACTGTTGGGGGCCTGGTGGCGCAATGGTCAAGTGCTTGGCTGCTAACTGAAAGGTCAGTGGTTCGAATGCACCAGCTGCTGTGCCTGAGAAAGGCCTGGCAATCTGCTCTGGTAGAAATTACAGCCTGGAAAAAACCCCATGGGGCAGTTCTGTTCTGTCACATGGGGTCGCTGTGAGTGGAAAATCGACCCACTGACACCCAACAACAGCAGCACTATTGGGGGAACTTGGTTGAAGGGTACATTGGATCTGTCTACATTCTTTCTTTTATTTCTTACAACTGCTTAGGAATCTGTAAGTATCTCAAAAGAAAAAGTTTAATTAAAATAAAAGAACAAAGGGAGCTTGAGGAGGTCTTGGCAACCAGCGTCCTTCGTGGGTGCCCCAGGGATGGGGTGTACTTCCCTTCTGCGGGGCACAGAGGTGTTGTGGTGGAGACGGTGGTTGATGTTGGGGGGGCTGACATTGGGGGCCATCTGACTGCCCCTCTTCATTACCCCCTTAATCCGTGCAGCAGCTCCAGGAGGGAGGGGCTGTCAGCCTCACCCTCTGCAGATAACCAGTGGAAGCTTCTGGAAGGCTAGAGGGGGGAGAGGCTCATGCCCACCTGGGCAGCTGTGCTGCCCAGGGGGTCTCGCCATCAGGTGTGCTCATGCAGGTTTGGTGTCCCGGCCAGCAGCCACGCGTCCCCGTTTAGGGGTAGGCAGTGGAGTTTTAGGACTGTTGGCTTTTGCCCTCCCCTTCGCAGTAGTAAGAGAGAGCCTGTGTGACGTTGGCTGTGCCTGTGAAGGTGCCGTGAGGGGGAGAGCAAGCGGAGTGTGTTGAGGGCCTTCATCCTTGGTCAGTGTGTTGGGGGCCCTCATCCTGGGTCAGTGTGTTGGGGGCCCTCGTTCTTGGTCAGTGTGTTGGGGGCCCTTGCTCTTCTGATCGGTATTTTGCTTGGTAGATGGATAACGGCTCATTTATTTAGCTAGCCGTGTTTGCGTTTTAAAATGTTTGTATCTTAGACTTTCTCGGACATACTTAACAGCAGAGGAAGTGTTACGGTGAATTCCTGTGTACTCACCGCTGTGATTCACAAATAGTAATTTGGCCACCTTGCCTCGTCTGTTCGAGTGTTGTTGTTGAAGTATTTCCAAAGTAGATTCCGACTCGCACGGTGCTTTGCTATCTTAGTTTTCACCACGCATCTCTGATACAAATGGACAGTTTGTAACGACAGTGCTGTTGTGGCTTTTACATAGTGACGACATCCCTGATCCGCCAGCTGCCAGCTCGTGTCCCCCTTTCCTGATTGCTTCCTTTAAGCTTGGTGTTCCCGTTGGGGTCCGTCGGGGTGCACGGTGGCGTCGGGTCATCGCCTTGCCGTGTGCTTTACTCTGGAGCAGCTTCTCTGCCTCGGACCCTCCTGCGGTGTCCACATCCTGTTCTTGTCTGTTTCTCTGTGATCCTCCGACCCTTTCTTCTGTCACCCTATGTTCTGTAAGCCGCAGCCAGCCCCACAGCCTGATTTGATTCAGGGTCACTGGTCTCGGGCTTGAGCACGTCATGAGCCTTGCCGCACGTCCGTGTCCCGTCCAGGCTGGCCCCTGACCGCTGTGCGCTGGTGTTGGCTCTGTGGTGGGGACTGTCCTCCTGCCTGTAAAGTGGGGAAGAGCCCAAGGTGCCTTGTGGCCAGGGCTCAGGGAGGTGGGGACCAGGTGCAGTGCCAGGCCCCCGTGGGTACAGGCAGCTTTGCCGACGTGAGCAGCCTCCAGCCGTGGGTGGGGCCAAGGCCAGCACTGGTCCGGGGGCTCCTGAGCAGGCACTGGCGGGCTCGCTGAAGGCCCTGAGGCCTCTGTCTGGAGCGGGCGCCCTCGCGTGCTGCTGGTCTCGGGGAGGGGGCCGTGCTGGCCGGGGTGCATAAAGCCATGCGCTGTCCCCAGCAGCGTTCGGTGCAGTGAGGCTGACTGTGCTGGTGTTGGTCTCCAGGCCGTGTTCTGGAGGCCACAGCGTGGGCGGCCCTTCTCTGGAGGTGGACGGCGATGGCCGCCAGGAGCATCCATGTGCCGCCTGCCTCTCTTATGCTCTGGGGCATCTGCGGGCTCTGTGGAGGCTGCCGTCTGAGTTGGCGGAGCTATGACTCAGGCTGGGCAGTGAGGGTAGCAGCCCAGGTCTGGGCTAGACGGATGGTCAGGTGGACAAGCCTCTGGCGCTGGCGTGCGTCCCCAAGCTGCTGTGCTCCCCTCCTCTCCCTCTGGCCTGTGACCCTGGTCCCCTCAGGTGGGCCCTGAGCCCAGCACTGCCCACCCACTGTGCGGTGTCCTCCCTTCCCGGACCCTGTGCTCAACAGGTGTCTGGAAGTTACAGAGCCCTGTCCCTGGCCTGGGCCAGCCAGGCAGCCCAAGGGGGTTCACACCTCCGATGAGCCCCCTGGGGAGCAGACCTCTGCAGGACAGCTGGGAGACAGTAGGGCTAGGCCTTGAGTGGTCTGGGTGGGGAGGGAGGAAGGACTGGCATCACTGGCAGGAGCAGTCAGGGTCGGGGCAGCGCTGTGGGGGGCGGGCTGGTCCCCAGCTGGATGCTAAAGGGCTGCTTGGGAGGGCCTAGGGGGCTGCAGGAGTCAGGCAGGCGAGTGGACAGGTGTGGTGGTGTGGATGGGAACGATCTGAGGGCGTGGGGGTTGGGCTGCTGGGCTGGCGGATGGGCAGTGGTGGGGGTGAGGGGTGGCAGCTGGTGGGGGAGACAGGGCTGTGTCTGAGGCTGCTCTCTAAGGCTGCACTCGGCTCCCACCAGGTCCCAGTGGCACACTGCTTTGGCCCCCGGGGGCTGTACAAACGCAGGTTCTGCGCTGTCTGCCGCAAGGGCCTGGAGGCCCCCGCGCTCCGCTGTGAAGGTACTGCCGCAGGGTGTCCTGGGCCCTGGGTCCTGGTCTTTGCTGCCCGGGCGGTCCAGCCCTCCCCTGGGCCCTGGCAGGGAGACAGAGGGGTGGCCTGGGGGGCTGACCGGCCCTGGTGCACAGCCCCCGTCAGTAACTGGTGTGGGGTGATCCTGAGGCTGTGCTGGGGCAGTGGGTGACTCAGAAGTGCTCATGGGGGGCAGGGGGCTGGGGTCATGGGAGAGCAGGCAGACAGGGAGAGACCAGGAGAGGTCAAGGAGGGAGCGGCCCCGTTTGGCCCAGGTGCAGGATGGCCGGGTGGCGGGTGGTGGGGACTGAGTGACACGGCGGTGAGAGGCGGCTGGGCAGGCTGGCATGGAGGAGGCCGTGGCCTGCCGCGGTGCCGGGGTGCTGCAGAGCCCCTAACCCTGCCCGCCCCCCAGTGTGTGAGCTGCACGTTCACCCCGACTGTGTGCCCTTCGCCTGCAGCGACTGCCGCCATTGCCACCAGGACGGGCACCAGGACCACGTGAGTGCCAGGGCGCGGGGTGCGGGGGGGGGGGCCGAGGGGGGCCTGGCTGACGTCACCCCTCCGCAGGACACGTACCACCACCACTGGCGGGAGGGGAACCTGTCCTCGGGTGCGCGCTGTGACGTCTGCAGGAAGACATGTGGCTCCTCCGAGGTGCTGGCTGGCCTGCGCTGTGAGTGGTGCAGCCTCCAGGTGAGGGCGGGGCGGGGCGGCAGGGGGTGGGGCCTCCAGGTGAGGACAGGGCCGGGCAGCAGGGGGTGAGGTCTCTAGGTGCGGGCAGGGTGCAGGGTGGGGGTCCGTGAGTGATGTGGCCTCCAGGTGTGGGCAGATCAGCAGGGTGGTGGTGCCCAAGTAGTGTGACTTCCGGGTGGGGGCAGGGGCTGGGCAGGGTGGCAGAGTGGAGGTTCTTGAGTGATGTGGTCTCCAGGTTGGGGAAGAGATGGGGTGGGGCTGAGGGGGACAGGGCTGGGAGTCGGGGTGGGGTATGTGGAACCCCCACCAGGCCACCTTACCTCTTGAGCTCGTCTGCACAAGCTGTCTTCGAGTCTCTGGGGTGGGCTTCCTGTTGGACAGCGGAGAGTTGGGGAGCCCTGCCCCGCTGCAGCCTGTGGGGTTGACAGGCTGCCTTTGCAGGGTGTTCTGGGTCTAGAGCGGTGAGCATGGGGCATGGCGCTCACTGTGGGCCTCGAGGCAGTTCCTGGGGCCAGCCTGGACCCTGGCCACCGCTGCCCACAGACCCCAGCTGAAGCCCGCTGCCCTGCTGCCCCCAGGCCCACTCAGTCTGCTACTCGGCGCTCACCCCCGAGTGCACATTCGGGCGCCTGCGCAGCATGATCCTGCCCCCTGCCTGCGTGCGCCTGGTGTCCCGCAACTTCAGCAAGATGCACTGCTTCCGCATCACCGAGAACCCGACCCCAGAGCCAGGTGAGGCCTGTGGGCAGGCAGCAGGGCCCTGTGTCCGCTGGGAAGATGGTGTGGCCTCCAGGCAGGGCTCATGGGGGGTGGTGTTGAGCCCAGCCCCAGGGGCAGGGGATCAGGCAAGAGCAAGGACAGCCCGCAGTGCCGCGGCAGGATCACGGCTTCAGAAATGGGGCTGGGGGCCTGGATGCAGCCAGGCTGGCACATCCCCCACCCCGGTGTGATGGGCTGAGCCATGTGTCTGCCCTTCCCCACAGGTGAGGGGGACGACAGCATGGACGGGAGTGCCGCGGCAGGCCCAGGCAGAGAGGTGCTAGCGTCTCCAGAGTCCAGTAAGTGCCCCTCACTAGTGCTCGCCCTGTGCCCCCACCCCACGGGCTCACGAGCCCCTCCTTCCGGCCAGGCAAGCAGACCCTGAGGATCTATGATGGCTATGACGCCATGCAGCGAAACCACTTCCGCCTCATCACTGTCCCCCGCCTGGCCAAGAACGAGGAGGTGCTGGTAAGAGGGGCCCCGTGGAAGGAAGCCGGCAGGTCCCTGGCCCTGGGCTGGTTCTGCACGTGGGATCCGGCCTGCGTGCCCAGTCTTCTTCTGTCTGGCAGGAGGCAGCACTGCGGGCATACTACATCAGCGAGGACCCCTGTGACTTCGAGCTGCAGGCGCTTCCCCCATCCGCACGCTCTGACGACAACGGTGCCCAGGGAAAGGCCCGGACTGGTGGGGCTGCCGGGGATGAGGGCAGCCGAGGCCCCGGGTCCCGAGACCCTGCGCCCCGAGAGCCCGCGCCTGAGGCCTGGGTCATCCGTGCCCTGCCCCGTACCCAGGAGGTCCTGAGGATCTACCCTGCCTGGCTCAAGTGAGACCCTGGACCCAAGTCTCCTGGTCTGCTGGGTGGGCTTGGGAGGGCAGAGGGAGAGGATCCCCGTTGTCCAGAGTCTAGGGTTCTGCTGGGCGGGGTTGGGAGGGCAGAGGGAGGGGGTCTCTGCTGTCCCGAGCCTCGGGCAGGGTTGGGAGGGGAGTGAGTGGGGGACTGTGCCGTCCTGAGTCTCAGGGTCTGTCCTGCAGGGTAGGTGTGGCCTACGTGTCCATCCGTGTGACCCCGCAGAGCACTTCAAGGACAGTGGTGCTGGAGGTGCTCCCGCTGCTCGGACGCCAGGTGCAGATGTCTGGGGCCCGATCTGGGCGGGCCGTGGGGGTCACTCACTCCTGGCCCTGGTCTGCCGGCCCTTCAGGTGTCCTGGGGTGATTGGGGGCTGGCCCTGGGCCTGACGCCCCATCCTCCGCCCTCAGGCCGAGAGTCCCGAGAGCTTCCAGCTGGTGGAGGTGCTCATGGGTAGCAGGCAAGGTGAGCCGGGGCCCTGTGCACCTGGGCCCGCTGCCTCGCGGCTTTTCTCCCGGGTGGTGTCCCAGGCCTGCGGGCCACACCCTGTCTCCCGGCCCATTGGGCCCTGCGTCCTGGGAGCCCCAGGGTCTGGGGGCCGCCGTTGGCGGAAGCGAACGCTGTTCTCTGGGGCGGTGGCACGCAGTGCTGATGGGGCTGTCCCCTTGTCCTGCAGTTCAGCGGACAGTGTTGGCGGATGAGGAGCTCCTGCTGGACCGGCTCTGGGACATCCGGCAGGTCCGTAAGCGTGGACACCGTCCCAGGGCCCCCTGCCGCAGGCGCACGTGGCCCCGGGCAGAGGCGGGCTGCAGCAGGGCTATCCCCTGTCCCTGAGGCTGGGCCATTTCCGCTTGCTCTGTACAGTCACGTGTTCCCAGCCGTGTGGTGTCCTGTGCCACGGGTCTCCCTGAGGTCCCCTTGGGGGTGGAAGGGGCTCGCACAGAGGAAGGAAGCCCCCTTATTGTCCCCTCCCGTTTTGTTCATCGGAACTTAGTCCAGCCCAGGGAATCTCCCAGCGCGCCTTTATGGAGGCAGAGGGCAGAGGAGGGTGGGGGGAACATCCGCCGGCGCCCGGCCCTCAGTGTCCTCCCCCTGCAGGCGTCCTTGCGGCAGATGAGCCAGACGCGGTTCTACGTGGCCGAGAGCCAGGCCGTGGTGCCGCATGTCTCCCTGTTCGTCGGCGGCCTGCCGCCCGGCCTTGCCTCCCAGGAGTATGGGCCCCTGCTGCAGGAGGCCGTGGGTACCAAAGGTGGGACCTTCTGGCCTGCCTGTGCACCTGGGGTTGTGGGGAGGGGACCCCAGATGGTCGGTAGTGGGGGCTGCAGTGCCCTGTCCCTCTCCCCCTTCCCCTGGCCGTCACCCTCTGCCTGCCGGGGCCCCGTCCTTTGTCCCCACCTCCAGGCTCAGGCCAGTACCCCTCGTCCAGGAGGCTTCTGTGCCTGCCGGTCCCTCTGGCCTTTTTCCCTGGTGCCCACCTCTGCGTCCTCTGCCTCCTGCGCCCCCAGGTGGGCAGGGAGCACTGTGGGGGGCGTGGGCCCTGACGGGGAGCTGCCCCCACCAGGCAGAGTTGGTCAGCCCCGACCATGGTTGCGGGGACTTGCAGTCAGACTGGGCAGGGCTGCCGGGGGAGGACGTGTGGGGCTGCAGGGGCGGGCGGTGCCCACGTCAGCCGCGGTGGAGCCCGGCGCCCCGACCGAGATCTGTCTTTGCAGCTGACGTGGTGACTGTGAGTCGCGTCTACCCCTCGCAAGGTGAGCGCCGCAGCCGAGCTCAGGTTGAACTGAATGTTGTTCCCTGGTTTTGATGGACAAGCCCGCTGACCTTCACCTTGGGGGCCCTGAGGGGTCATCACAGCAGCCTGGCATTTATCCCGGGCTCATCTCTCTAACGCTTTTGCTAAAATGAGGCTTTGCTCAGAAAATGTTTCTGCCGAAACCCGTTCCGACTGTGGGTTTGCATCTTTTGTTACGGTAAATCGAAAACCCACGTGGAGGCGGGGAGAAGAGTACATCGAGTGCCCATCTACTGTCACCCCCAGCTGTTACCGGCACCCTTCCATTCGGGTGGGCGGGTTTTGCCCCTCAGGCTGACCCGTGAGGCCCTGGAACTCTCCTGGGCCCCAGCAGTCAGGATGTAAGCTCCCGGAGAGGGGGCTCGATGGGGGTGGATACCCTTCCTGTCCCATCATACCTCCTGTGGCTTCTGTTTCCACCCGTGCTTATCCAACAGATGTGTCCCGGCCCTGTTCTGTGGTGGTGCTGGGCTCAGCCGGTGACCCTAGGCTCCTCCTGAGGAGGAGAGGAGGGGAAAGGGCTCTCTTGGGACGGGTGGGGTACGGACTTGGGTATGTCTTCCTGGGTGGGCTGACCCGAGCTGGCTGTGGCCAGAACTGGAGGGCTTTTTGGCTGCGGGAGGTGGCCGAGGCCTCACTGGGCCCTGGTGGGCAGGCCCTGCTCTGGAGCTCATGGCCCACCTGTGCAGGTGCTGTGGTGCTGGATGTTGCCTGCTTTGCGGAGGCTGAGCGGCTGTACATGCTGGTCAAGGACACAGCCGTGCAGGGCCGCCCGCTGACAGCCCTGGTGCTCCCCGAAGTGCTGGTGAGTGGGCCCCGAGTGCTCCTGGTGGGGGCCCCAGGTGTGCCTCATGGGTGCCCCAAGTGTGCCTGGTGGGGGCCCTGTGTGCGCCTGCAGGAACCTGTGTCGACAGCTGGTTTTCACTCAAGCGGGGATGCTGGAGACTCTGTCCCGGTCCCCACGCGCGCCTTCCCCACACGGGCCTTTGCTTTCCTGGGAGGTCTTTGTGGACAGACCTTTCTTTTCCTTGTGTTTGTTGGGTTCTTGGGCAGTGCCACCCCATGTTGCCAGCCCAGGAAGGATGTTGTCACCCTCGTTGTACCCTGAGGGGGTGAGGTCAGAGGGTGAGCGGACTGCCTGAGGCTGCTCAGCTGAGCCCAGCCCAATTGCCCACGCAGTTGGTGGACGAACTGCCCAGAGCAGAGGATGTGAGGGCCTGAGTGTATTGGTGACCCGCTTGGGTCACCCGGAACCGGCCCCTCTCGCCTGGTGGACTAAGGGCTCCGCTGTTCCATGCAAGGGCCGCCTCCAGCCAGTAGGTGGCACTCCCATCCTAAGGACCCAGCCTGCCTGGAGGAAGACCCAGGACCCTCGCCCTGCCCCACAGCTGCCACTGGTTCCTCCGCCCTGCCAGCCTAAGGCATTCCTGGCTGTTTTGTCCCTCACCCCAGACAAGGAGAAGCCTAATTAGAGCAGAAAGAGTTTTTGTCTGTGCCTGGGGTGGGTTGGCCCCTGCCTGGTGACAGGCCAGTCTTGCTGTCCTGAGAGTGCAGTGGCAGGTCAGGATCCTGGCCCCCCAGCCCCGGCTCCGTGGCAGGGTTGGGTGGCAGTGCCGATGCGCGGTTTCTGTCTTTTCTGTTAGCTGCCTGCACACGAGTGAGCGGGTAAGTTCTGACCGCGGGGCAGCTCTGCAGCCACATGGTCAAAGTGTGTCCCCAGTGCGTCCCCAGTGTGTCCTTGGTCTTAAGCCACGGCAGAGCCCATGTGCTGTCAGCACCCACCCTCTGAGCCGCACTGTTCTGTCTCCCGTAGCCATGGTGCCTCGTAGGGACCCCAGGGCTGCTGTTGTAGGGACCCCATCCTGGACCCCACCATCACAGGGACCTGGATCTACTGTCTGTCCTGGGCATGCACTGAGACTCTGGACTGAGCCCTGCACTCTTCAGGAAGACTGGATGATGGGCTTGGTCGCCGGGGCTGAGGGAGCGCTGTGGCTCCTGGAAGCTGAGTGGGTGGCACGGGGGGGATGTTGTGTGAGGGGGGCTGGGCTGGGTGCCTGGTCCTCCACGTGCAGGTGTCTCTGCAAGGGGCAGGCCCCGCCCAGCTGGCCAGCAGCACCAGGCGGGGTCCTGCGGCCTGGCTTCTCTGGCCTTGGGCTGTGGTGGGCCTGGGTGGGCACACAGGCAGGGGAGCGCTGTATGATCCCTTGTCACAGTGGGTGTGGCACGGCCTGCCTGCCTCCCCTGGCCCGGGGCCACCAGCAGCCCGTGGGGTGCCCTGAGTGGTCAGTGAGGTGGGGATGGCCATGTGCCCCGCCTGACCTCGTGTGAGGGCGTGGCCATGGCTTCCTTCAGAGAGTGCTGGCTTGACCTGGGCAGCCCAGGGTGGGGGGGACCTGGGAGCTGCACTGGGTGGGTACTCACTCGCTCACTGCCCGGCACAGGGGGCGGTCACTCACTCACTGCCCGGCAGCCCTAGTCGGGGGAGCAGTCTCTGCCCAGCGGCTCTGGTTGGGAGGCAGCCTCGGTGTCCCCTGCCCCAGCCCTAACCCAGCCCTTGTCTGTCAGCACACGAAGCTGCCCCGAGACTGCTGCCCCCTCCTCGTGTTTGTGAACCCCAAGAGTGGAGGCCTCAAGGGCCGAGATCTGCTCTGCAGTTTCCGGAAGCTGCTGAACCCCCACCAGGTCTTTGAGCTGACCAGCGGGGGCCCCCTCCCTGGGTGAGTGTGCTGGGGCCAGGGCCGATGCCCCCGCCTCCACTCCGCACCGCACACGGGGTGGCAGGTGGGCAGAGGGAGAACGGGGCTGAGCCCACAGACCTGGGGAAGGGGGCCACTTGGGCATGCCCCAGAACCAGGCGGGTGGGATGGTGATTGTGAGGCAGGGCAGGTGTCTTCAGCCCTCCATGAGGTAGCAGCCTCGGGGTGTAGGTGATGGGAGGCCTGGTCCTGTCCTGGGGATCCTGCCCCCCTCCTCTTTACCCCATGGTGGAGGTGGGCCAACTCCCAGGAGTGGTGGCAGGACATGTCCTGTCTCTCCCACACCAGGTTCCACGTGTTCTCCCGGGCCCCCTGCTTCCGGGTGCTGGTGTGCGGCGGGGATGGCACCGTGGGCTGGGTGCTCGGCGCCCTGGAGGAGATTCGCCACCATCTGGCCTGCCCCGAGCCCTCCGTGGCCATCCTGCCCCTGGGCACAGGTGGGCACAGCCAGGGGTGGGAGTGTAGGCCACGGAGTTGTCCCTTCCTGCCCTCGAGGTTTGCTTGAGGCCCACGGTGGTCTCTGTCCTTGCAGACGCTCACATCCGTCCTGTGGCGGTCTCCATCTCTGCTGGTTCCCGGGCCTGCTCTCTGGTGGTCTCTGTCCCCTCTGACCCTTTCTGCCCCATGGTGGTCTCTGTCCCTGCCGACCCTCAGGCTTGCCCCGTGGGTGGGTGTGGGGAGTCACTATGCATCTTGCTCATGTCCCAGGGAATGACCTCGGCCGAGTGCTCCGCTGGGGTGCGGGCTACAGTGGAGAGGACCCCTTCTCGGTGCTGGTGTCCGTGGATGAGGCTGACGCTGTACTCATGGACCGCTGGACCATCCTGCTGGACGCACAGGAGGCCTGTGGCGCAGAGAACAGTGTGGCTGATGTGGAGCCCCCAAAGGTACCGGGGTGGCCTGGGGAGGAGGAGGTACTGCTGTGTGCGCCTTCACCACGTCCGCTGGAATGCTCATTTATAGGGAAAGAAGGGCCCAAGGCTGGCCGGAGTGCCGACGTGCCGTGTGGCATGCTGACTTCCCCTGGGGTGCTGGGGAGCTTTGTGGGATCCAGCAGGGGAGTAACCAGGCAGAAGGAGCTCTGGCAATGGCAGAGGAGTTGGATTGGAGACGAGGTGGCTAGACCCACCTCCCAGGAGCTCAGGAGTACCTGGTGTGGGGTGACCAGGGTCCAGGGAGATAACGTGCCCTGTCCGCAGATCGTCCAGATGAATAACTACTGTGGGATCGGCATTGATGCAGAGCTAAGCCTGGACTTCCACCAGGCACGGGAGGAGGAGCCCGGCAAGTTCACAAGCAGGTACCAGAGGAGCTGCAGCTAGAGCCTGGGGGGAGTACAGGGGCTGCCACCTGGTGACAGTGTACGTCTCAGGATTCACCAGCTGGGATTGGTGGAGCAGGGGACTGGAGCCCAGGGGCCGCTTCAGGCACAGCAGAGGCAGCCACCTGGTGACAGTAGGTCCACCACCCCCACCTGCAGGTTCCATAACAAGGGCGTGTACGTGCGGGTTGGGCTGCAGAAAATCAGCCACTCCCGTAGCCTGCACAGGGAGATCCGGCTGCAGGTGGAGCAGCAGGAGGTGAAGCTGCCCAGCATCGAGGGCCTCATCTTCATCAACATCCCCAGGTGCAGGCAGGGTGGGGTGCCCCAAAGGCTCTGCCAGACCTTAGGCTCTGGTCCCTCCGGGGTGTGGTCTCGGGCAGGGCCCTGAGTCTCTGCGCCTAACTTACATCCTTGTCCTCTCCCTGTGCGCAGCTGGGGCTCGGGGGCTGACCTGTGGGGCTCTGAGAGCGATGCGAGGTTTGAGAAGCCGCGCATAGACGACGGGCTGCTGGAGGTGGTGGGAGTGACAGGCGTCGTGCACATGGTGAGCGGCCGGGGCAAGTGGGCGGGCCATCCCCTCTGCCACCACGCTGTGGCCCCGGCTGACCCCGGCTCACCCCCTCCCGTCCCCAGGGTCAGGTGCAGGGTGGGCTCCGCTCCGGCATCCGCATCGCCCAGGGCTCATACTTCCGCGTCACGCTCCTCAAGGCCACCCCTGTGCAGGTGGATGGTGAGCCCTGGGTCCAGGCCCCTGGCCACATGATCATCTCGGCTGCGGGGCCGAAGGTATGTCAAGCTGGGCAGGGCTGGAGAGCCAGCGCGGAGGTGGGCTTGGTGCTGGGTGGGCTGGGGGGCTGTGAGTGGCCAGTGGTGGTCTTGGGAGGTTATGAGGACCGGGTTGGAATAGGAATCCTGGTGGGTACCATCTCTCGGTAGACAAGCACCTGTTGGCCTCGGAGAGTCAGGTGTGCTGGCTGGACAGCGCTGTGGGCGGGCGGCACGAGCCCAGTCCTCTCCCACTAGCTGCAAGTCACTTAAGCTTCGTTCCTCATCCTGGAAAACTGGGTCAAATGTTCTGGTGTCTTTGGTGCAGAGTCAGCCTCCAGCACATGCACAGCCCAGACCCCCAGGCAGCTGACAGGAGCCCCTCTGACATCCCCGCCTCGTGACAGGTCCACATGCTGAAAAAGTCCAAGCAGAAGCCCAGGAAGGCCGGAGGCAGCCCCAAGGAGGCACGAGTGGACACGCCGCCTGCCCCAGATGGGGACGCCAAGTAGAGGTGGCTGCGGGGAGCTGAGGAGGGCCGGGAAGTAGCCCTGTGCCCACCCCGGTCTGTCTCCAGAGCAGCGGCCTCATCCTGACCCTGTCTCCTGGGACCACGTGCCTGGGGATGTCTCCATCCCAGGCCTCGTCCTGTGCTGCGTCCTGTGGAGGCCACTGGGCGGGTGATGTGTGTGCCCCTGCGGGGACCCCCCTCGCCTCCAAGCCCCTTGCAGAATACAGGCAGCCAGTGGACCTCACCTCATCATGCGCCATTACTTTGGATGGCCCTTGGGGTAGCTGGCTGTGTGGGGGCCCCAGGCTCACATTTCAGCATCCCCTGCAGCTCTGTGCAGATGCAGCAGCACCCCCAGGCTGCCGGCTGCTACCCTGGTCACTTGATCTGAGTTGCCCCATCCCACCCCCAGGCTCAGCTCAGTCTGTCTCGTGAGCTCCTGACCAGAGGCACACCCAGGCCCTCACAGACACTGTGGGCAGGACGCGCCAGAGTGGCAGGCTCTGTTGGGGGAAGGGTGCTTCTCATCTCCATGCAGCCTGGGCGCTGGGAGAGACCCTGTGCTGGCCCTTGGACAGGCGTGACGGGTGCCCAGACGGTGGGCCTGGCCAGCTGCCCTCTCCCCAGCCCCAGTCCTGAGGTTGGTAGGAAGCAGCCCCGCCAGCGGGTGGCAGTGTGGGGCTGAGCCCAGGAGCAGGTGGGAAGGGGAGGTTGGTTGGGGACAGGCCCAGCGGCTGCCCCTTCTGACCCGCTGGTGGGGCATCTGTCCAGAGCAGGTAGAAGGGACCTGAAAAGAAGCTGGTGTAGGGCCCACCATTGCCCCTCTGGCCCCTGGGGCCTGGAGCTCAGGGGAGGCTGTGGTGTAAATACATAACACCAAGCGTGGTCAGGAGCAGCTTTAATCACCTGGATCCACTTTAAGCACTTTACATGCCCATCTGCCAGCAAGCCACACGGCAACGACCAGCTCTGCTCATCAGCACTTCTCGACTTCAGTGCATGACCGCCTCTCCCCGACTCCTGGGCTCACCGAAGTGCACAGAGTGGTCTGGGCCGTGGCTTCCTGGGACTGTGCAGCCGGACGGCCCACACTGGTCGGGGGAAGGGGGGCACTGTTGTAGGAAACAGCTCCTCCGGGCTATGAGAACTGCTTCCACAACGCCCAGGAACTCAGACCACGGGGATGGCAGATGAACCACAGGTCTACCGCGTAGTCTCACAGAGCGCCCACCCCGTTTCCTTCCCCCGGACAAGCTGTCCCTTTGCCTTTGGAGTCAGGCTCGCGCTGGCAGTGGGGGTAGCAGGACAGCGGGGACGGCTCTCGTGTTTCACCGGGCTGGGGCATTGGCCTGGCGCCTTGCCCAAGTTTTGCCTCAATTTCAGTGGTGGCTCGGGGTTGACCCAGGAGCACAGCCCCCAGTCCAGGGCTGGCCTGCAGCCATTAGGCCCCCCCCCCCCCCACGCTTCTGCCAAAACCGCACAAACGCAACGTGCCGCCTCTCTGGCAGAGCGCTGGCGCGTGCGCCTCCAGCGCACGAGTGCGCATGCCTGTTTACGCCATCTGTAATCGTTCCGCCGAGTTTTTCGCGGTGTGATCCGTGTTTGCGAGCTGCGTGCTGTGTGACCTTAGGAGCTGTGTGTAAATGATCAGGGTGAACTTGTGCCTCTTTATTTAATGTCTGTGCCCAGACGGGCTGTGTGCCCTCAGTGGCTGGTGGCTCTGCTGACGGTACTTGCACTGACTGGAATCCTCCGTGACGTGTAGCTTCCAGAATGTAACAGTAATTTATCTGTTTGAAAATACAGTGCTGGGCATCGCTGTCGTGCTGAGTCCCCTCATCTGTGTGCAACGGGGGGTGCCCAACGTTTGGGCAGGGGCGGGTGGTCTGAGAGCCCCAGGGCCCAGCCCGACCCTGGAGCCTGGGCTCTGCACGTGTGGAAGGTGGGCCACAGTGGGCAGTCCCTCAGAGAGGACCAGCGTAACGGCCACCTGTCCTGGTCCCCTGCCTGACCTTGCTGAGCCTGTAGCCATAAGGGACACCTGCCCCTGTGGTCCAGGCAAAGGTGCTGGCGACCTGGGCTGCAGGAGAAATGACTGCTGGCTAGAGCAGGCGTCCAGGGCCACAGCCCGCACCCACTCACCCACCCTAGGCTGACCCCAGCAGGCCCACACCCTCCCAGCCAGGGGCAGGACCCCGGAGAGCCACCCCGCCCTGAAGCCCACCCACTCCACTTGTGACTGTCTGCCTCCTTTCAGATTAATCAGAAAGTGAGATAACCGTGTTGGCAACATGCCTTCAGGCCCAGGAGGAAAGTGGATACATAAATGGCAACAGAACAAAAGTGAGGTTCCCTGACCCTCCTGTCTGCAAAAATCGGGGAACAACTTGAAGGCTCTGGAATACAGCTGACCCTTGGCTAGCCTGTCCCCAACATTTCAGCTCCCCTGGCCCAGCTGTTCCCTCCTTCTATGTCCCTCTCAGGCTGCAGGAGTGAACACGGGGGAGGGCAGCAGAGGGAATCAGGAGTCCAGGACAGAGCGGGCAGGTGGGAAAGGGCCCGATGGGGCCCCTGGGAGGGGTGCTCCTTGGCTGCTAGCAGGGAGCAGGGAGGAGCTGGGACCGTGCGTCGGCCGCGCCCTGGTCGCTGAGCTCGGGACCCACTGGCCGGGCAAGGAGGCCCCGCAGGGCCCGCAGGACGGCCAGGGCAAGGCGCAGAAGCAGACGCAGGAGCAGGAAGGCGAAAGGCACGGTGACCTGCATGAGGTGGAAGATGGCCGTGCTGAAGCGGCGCAGGAAGCAGGTGGAGGCGAAGGCCAGCAGGCTGGCGCAGGGGTAGAGGGCCAGCTTGGCGAACATGAGCGCGTGCTCCTGGCCGCCGAAGCGCGCTGACGGGTGCAGGGCCTCCCGCTCCCGCAGCAGGGCCGCAGTCCACATCGCGAACTGGAAGATGCTGGCGAAGAAAACGATGACGCAGCTGACACGGATGCTCTCCAGCTCCTCGTGCGGCTGCTGCGCCAGCGCAGAGGTCCGCTGGTAGGCCAGCGGCAGGCCGCCCACGAAGGCCAGCGCCAGCGTGTTGAGCAGGCCCATGGCCCGCGTGGCCCTGCGCACGTGCAGGAAGAGCGAGTGGTGGGCGAACCAGAGCAGGCCCACCGTCGCAAAGGAGCCGAAGTAGGCCAGGAAGTGTGGCCCGAAGGCGCCCAGGGCTGCAACAAGGCTGCCGTGGAACTGCTCCTCCACGTCCTTGGGCTCCGGGACGTTGTCCTCACTGGGGACAGCAAACAGACGACGTTGGTGCCAGCCTCACCTCAGGTCACGCGGGGAGGCCCCGCCATGGCACAGGTGGGCATCTAGCTGGTGAGTGGCCCTCTCTGGCTGATCAGTGCATCTGTGTGTGTGCGTCTGCTCGGGAAGGCCCTGCCTCTGGGGCAGGGTAGTCTGTGGGGGGTCTCTGTTCCCTGTTTCCACATCCCCCTGCAGCTGCCCTCACAACCCGCCCCGGCCGCTAGCTGCCACCTCCGGATGGTGTGGTCTCTGCAGACCTGTGGTTCTCACTCAGGGAGTCTGTGCAAATGCAGATTCCTGGGCCCTCACCAGGACTGGGCCCAGGAATGTGCACTGCCAGCAAGCGTCCATTCCCAGGCACCTCGGACCTGGGATGGAGCACATCAGAAAACCTGCAACTGGTGCCACTCAGCCATCCCGGTCAGAATCTGTAAAGCATGTGCAATTGCACGCATCCATCGAGCGGATGCAGGTTACGGCGTTTCTGGAAGCAGCCGAGAGAGTGCTCCGTCTCCTCAGAAATGCCGGAGCACCTGCATGTGGGTTTCTGCCTCAGGGAGACCCTGAGTTGGGGGGCGGGGGGGTGTGGTTTGGGCTGGAGTGGGCCTGGAGGGCCTTCTGGAGCCTTGGGCCTAAAGCTCAGGTCTGAAGGCTGGCATGGGGGAGTGCAGGCAGAGCCCGGGGAGGTGGCAGTGCAGACACCCCCACCAGCTCCAAGACCCTGTGGCAGCTTCTCAGGGGCATAAAGGGGAAACCTGGTCTGCAGGGGGAGGGGGGAGGCTGGGGGAGGCAGACTCTCTCCTGCGCCGAGGATCTGGGTGGGCGAAAGAAGAACACTGGCCCCGTGGGAGCCCCTACCCAGCGAGAGGACCCGAGCCCAAGCGGCCCTGGCTGCAAAGCGAAAGCAAGGCAGATCATTCTGGAATGTTTTTAAATCCAGACCTTAAAGATCCAAGACCAATGAGAATGTACTTCCAATTTAAAAAAACTCCACAAATTACAGAAGAAAAAAGCTAGAAGAATCAGCAGCCTCAGATTGCAAGCTGTCACCCAACAGGATCAGACCATTAAATCACCTGACAGCGACTCGGTGACCCTGCAGGATGGAGTAGAACTGCCCCACAGGGTCTCCAAGGCCGTCATCTTTCCGGAAGCAGACTGCTGCGTCTTTCTCCTGCGAATACGGAATATAGACTGGAGTGTTTCACCACGTTTCACAAACTAAACGAGCACATGGAAAGATGGCCAGGGGACAGATGATTACAGAAAGGATAGAAGATTTGAGAAAGAACCAGGTAAACATTTACAAATAAAAACACAATAATTAAAAGTAGAAATTTCACAGACGTGAAGTGGCAGGTGAGGCTCCAGAGGAGGGAAGACAGTGGAAGAGGAATGTGGGCCCTGAAGATGGGACTCAGGAGGGGACCGGGAGACTCGCTGGTGGCTGTCTGGGCAGAGCTCTGGGAGGCGGTGGGGGACACCTCTCCCTGCGCCCCACCCCCCCGCTCTGGGCAGCACTGTTCTCCCTGGGGGGCCTCGACACGCACTCTGAACCCAGGCCACCCTCTCCCATGGAGACCTCTCGGCACCCAGCTGCCTCTGTGAATGGACGGTGGTCCTTTTGTAGGCCGACGGCCCACAGGCTCAGAGCTGCTCACTCCAGATGAGACAGGGGCTATGGGTGGGCCCTGGTGGGGAGGATCCGGGGCTGTCCCGCCTCCCGCCCCAGCCTCTGTGCATGGGGTCCTACCAGATGTCCAGGATGAGAAGGGTGGCCACAATGGCATAGACGCCATCGCTGAAGGCCTCCACACGCTCCTTGCTGAGGGGCTCGTGCAGGTCAAAGGTGAAGAACTCCAGGCTCTGGGTGGGGGGGTCCCTTGGGCCTGATGTGGAAGGAGAAGGTGCTGACCCTCCCCCACACAGGGCTGTGGGGACAGTTCCACCACCTCTGTGCTCGTCCCAAAGGGGCTGGTCCCGTGCCCTGTGGGCTGGGCTCTGGGGGGCAGGGGCGGGGCGGGGAGGACACCCAGGCTGATCTGCCCAGAGCCGGAGCTCAGCGCAGCCTGGCCGATGAGGAGAGGAAGCTTTGGCTTTACCAAGTGTGTGAGCCTCTCCATGCTCAATAGTTTCCAGACGCAGCACCAAGACCTGAGTGCAGCCACCCTGAGGCCTAAGGTTCATGCAGAGGACCGGGAGGCCAGACCTCTCTCCCCGCTGGACCTCCCACCTGTGTCAGCCTCTCGCAGACCAGCCTGGCCCACCTACCCCTGATCCTGTCCTTGCACCAGCCGGCGGCCTTGCTGATGTATGGGAGGAAGATGACCATCGCCATCAGCAGGTACGACTGCATACGGAGAGACGGCGGCGTTAACGGGGTGGGTCCCAGCCCCCACCCACCCGGGGCTGCATGTCACGTGGAGCCCAGGACCCGCCAGAAATCCCACCAGGAAACACTCTGCTCAGAAAGGAGGGGCAGCTTGAGCAACAAAAGCAAAGCTGAACTGGACTTCATCAAAATGTACAGTTTCGTGCATCTGCGTGCACTGTCGTGACAGTGAGAAGACCCCCCACAGCGGGGCAGAAGACCTGCAGACGTATCTGGTAAGGATCTCATGACAGTGACCAGCTGCCGCTGAGCTGACTCCGACTCATGGCAACATCGTGTGTCAGGGCAGAACTACATGCTCCCCAGGGTCTCCAGTGGCTGATTGTTTGGAAGTAGGTCGCCAGGCCTTTCTACCGAGGTGCCTCTGGGTGGACTTGAACCACCAAACTTTTAGTTCGCAGCGGAGTGCATTAACCGTTTGCACCACTCAGAGACTTCTGATAAGGGCCTAGTATCCAGAATCTATGGAACTCTTAAAACTCAACAACAGAAAGACAAAGCACCTAAATGAAAAAGGATCTGAACAGGCATTTCTCCAAAGAAAATACACAAAAGGCCAATAAGCACGTGAAAAGACGCTCCACATCATTAGTCGTTAGTGTTAGGGCAACGCAAATAGAAACCACAAGGAAATGCCACTTCATACCCACTAGGATGGCTATGATTAAAAATCACAAAATAGCCAGTGTTTGTGAGGATGTGGAGACGCTGGAATCCTTGTGCGTTGCCACTGCGGTGTAAAGTGGTACAGCCCCTGTGAAAAAGTGGTGGTTCCTCCAGAATTGAATCGGAAGGACCACCTGACCCAGCAGTTTGCTTCTAGGCACACACTGAAGAGACCCAAAAGCAGGGACTCACAGACCTGTATACCAGAGTTCACCGCTGCACTATTCACAACAGCCCGAAGGTGGACGCAGACCAAGTGTGCATCAACTGGGAGACTTTCCCTTGTCTCTCTTCACTCCTGGTGAGGAGACAACACGCCATGCCTGTTAGCCTCAGCCATGTGCAAACATGGGGGGGACTAGCAGACCTTGGCTTTCCTACTCAGCTGAGGTGAGGTCAGCAGAGACGCCTGAGCTGCCTTCATTCTCTCTTCACTGTGCTGACACGGATCCGACAGAACTCGAGGCTCTGAGGTGAGACTGTCCTAGAAGTTCTGAGGGCAAGTGCCCACCGCGCGCTCATCCTCTTCATCTTTGTGGCATTCACGTGGTACCGTACCCGTTGCTGTTGAGTCAATTCCGACTCATAGTGACCCTACAGGACAGAATAGAACTGCGCCATAAGGTTTCCAAGGAGCAGCTGGTGGATTCGAACTACCGACCTTTCGGTTAACAGCCGAGCTCTTAACTGCTGTGTCACCAGGCCTCCACTCACGTGGTGAGCAACCGTTTTAGCCCCAGTCTCTCCTTATCGCTGAGCATGGTGGTCGCTCATCCTGTGCGGCGGCTCCCCCTACCCTGGGCCTGGACTCGGGCCTCCTGTCAACAGCAGGGTCTTTCCTTCATCTTGCTTTTCTCCCCTTCTCCAGTTCCTTTTTCTGATTCTGGAACTTTCTTTCCTCTTGTTCCATCCTCTTTCTTGCTGGCTCATTCTCTGGTGTATTTCTGGGACAGGCAGAGCTCACCTGCCTATGCCCCCACCCCCCGTGCGGACCCTGGGCTGGTTCGTCAGAGCGTTTCCTCTCCTGGCCATCGGGGGCAACGGCTGCTCCGACCGCTCCGCCACCAGCCGTGTGTGGGTCTGTGTGTCTTTGTCTGTGTCATCCTGGTGCCCCGTCTGCAGGCTGCTCCGACCGCTCCGCCACCAGCCATGTGTGTGTCTCTGTGTGTGTCTGTGTATGTGTGCGGTCTTCCTGGTGCCCCGTCTGCAAGCTGCTCTGACCGCTCCACGACCAGCAGTGTGTGTGTGTCTCTGTGTGTCTGTGTGTGTGTCTGTGGTCTTCCTGGTGCCCTGTCTGCATGCAGGCTGCTCTGACCGCTCCGCCACCAGCGGTGTGTGTGTGTCTGTGTGTCTCTGTGTATGTGTGTGGTCTTCCTGGTGCACCTGCACACAGGTTCCACCCCCTTGACTCTCCCAGCGTCTTTGTTTTTTGTTCTAGTCACGTGACACTTCACCAGTCTCAAGAACACCACTGGATGAAACCCGCTTTGTCTGGGAAAAGAGAACTGGTGCCCCTCTCCTCTGAGCAGGTTCATTTCTTTGCTCCAGGCACCCCTGAGCCCCCAGAAGCAGGGGCCCCAGTTCCTCACTCTGCGCCAAGTGGTGTCAGCACTAGGAGTCCCAGAGGTCCTCAGACGGGGCAGCCCTGACCTGCCTCTTGTCTCACTGCCTGCCACCCCTGAACATGTGCATGGAGGGTGGGCCTGTCCCCATGCCCATGCCCCAGCCCCCACACCCCGGCCCCCGCACCCCGGCCCCCACGCCCGGGCCCCCCCACCCGGCCCCCACGCCCAGGTCCCCGCGCCCAGGTCCCCACACCCAGTCCCCATGCCCAGGATCGCACGCCCAAGTCCCTGCGCCCAGGTCCCCATGCCGACAGTGTCCACTGGAACGGCCCCTCCTCTGGTAGCCCCTGCACTGTGCCCGGAGGCCCGGTCAGCAGCGTGGGAGACTCACCACAGGGAAGAAGAAGAGGGAGAAGAGGGCGGCGACAAAGCACAGGGCGGGGCCACGCAGGACGATGCCCAGGATGTGCTGCCGGAAGGCGGCTTTGTGGGCAGAGTGTGCGATCTGTTGGTTCAGGAGGTGCGGGTAGTGGAACGCGTACCCCACGATCACCGCCTGTGGGGAGAAGCTGGCTGCAGGGGCCTGACAACCTGCTCGGGGCCCAGCCTGCCATTCAGCGCCCCTACTTCCTCTACCCGCACGTGCACAAGTGAAGTTGGTACCTTGGATGCTCCCGGCAGCCCGGGGCTTTCCTGCGGGGTGAAGAGGGCCAAGAGGGACCCCCGCTCTGGTTCTGAGGTCTGCGTGTGGGACCAGGGGTCTCCCTAAGCTGCCTTCCCCCACGTGCTCACCACCGGCAGGAGCCTGGAGCTCTGCGTGTGGCACCCCGCCCCCCGCGCCGTGCACCTGGTGACCCCGGGCCGTCCCAGGTTACCCTCCCAACGCCCTCACAGGAAGCCCGGAGCCCGCGCTTCTCCAAGCAATCCCTCTGCACGCTATGGCAGGGGCACCTTACCCTCCCTACCCCACCTGCTATTCCGCTCGGTGCACAGCATGTGCCAGTCTACGTGGGAACATGCAGGGAATGTGGGGAGACAGGCAGACCCGGGCATCCGACCTGAGCAGCCCTGGTGGTAAGCATGCACACGCACGTGCACACATACGCGCTGGGTGCAGACCAAGCCTCCTGAGCAAGCTGGGTGGTGACGACACACGCACACACGGGGTGCAAACTGAGCTTTCTACCTGCGCAAGCCTGATGGTGATCATGCACAAATACATGCATGCGCCCACATACGCAAACACGGCGCAGACCTGGGCCTCCTACCTGAGCACGCCTGATGGTGATCACGCACGCACGCGCGCACACACACGGCGCAGACCTGGGCCTCCTACCTGAGCACGCCTGATGGTGATCACGCACGCACACGCACACACACACGGCGCAGACCTGGGCCTCCTACCTGAGCACACCTGATGGTGATCACGCACGCACGCGCACACACACACGGCGCAGACCTGGACCTGCTACCTTAGTGAGCCCGACGGTGATCACGCACGTGCGCGCGCGCACACACACAAGGCGCAGACCTGGACCTCCTACCTGAGTGAGCCCGATGGTGATCACGCACACACAGAACAAGAAGATACCCAGAGGCACGTCTGGGAAGGTCACCATCAAGGCAAACTGCAGGACAAAAAGGAAAACTGTGGGGCTTCGGGGAAGGGAAGTGAGGACCGAGTGAACCTCCCGGCCTCCCCCATCTCGGGCTATGCACCTTCTAGCTGCAGCGCTGCCATGAGGTGGGGACACCAGGCCACAGGGGTCCCTGGGTGGGTGCCCGCTAGGCAGCCAGAGCATGAGGACGGTTGGGGGATGGGGGTTACGAGGGGAGGGATGGAGGGAGGGACAGGGGCTGCATGGAGAAAGGAGCTGCCTGCCTCCCTCGAGGCCTCTCTCCATGTCTCCTCCCAGGGGAGCCAATGCCACTGAAGGCTTTAGGCCTTTCAAGCGGAACCGTCACTGACCCCCAAGCGGCCCACCCCAGCACCCTCAAACAGTGCTATCCATCAGAATTAGGGCTTCGGGCTGGCACAGGCCTGAGCAGCGGTGGGTGAACGGGGTCAGGCTGGGGGGTGAGCCTGGGACAGCAGAGGGCCGCGGGCTCAGGGGCCAGCCCCTCCCCAGCTCAAGCCCAGTGGTGTCCACCCAGAGGCTCCAGAAGCCCCACCTCCTACCCTGAGTCTCTCGCCGCCTTCTCTCAGGCAGCCCTCCCTGACTGCTGGCTCCCAAGACCCTGCTCTCTTCCCCCCAGCGGGGCTCCCTTTCTCCCGGGCTGCTCTAAGAATCCAAGGGTGGGCTCTCAGGTTCTGAGTCCCCACGCCTGGCGGAGGGCGGGCTGGAGCCTGCGGTGGATTCGGGGAAGCCCTCCAGGATCACGGTGTTACACTCACTGTGTACGGGAGGAATGTGATGGTCATCATGCAGGCCTGAAACGAAGGCAGGCAGGTCACTGCAAGTCACAGTGCTGAACCCCACAGGCCATGCAGAGCCAGAGAGGGCCACCATCTGAGCCCCCAGACCTGCCAGATGGGGGAGGAGGGTGCATCCTTCCAGCCTCTTCACATCAGGAGGCCAGGCAGCGGCAAGCTGGGCTCACACTTGAGTCTCTGGTTAAACCCGCGTGCCCCCGCCACCCCAGGTGCCCTCAGCTACCCGGGCGCCCCTGCTGCCCCATGTGTCTGGGCTGAGGGTCCCGGAGGGGAGGCTTGTCTGAGGAGCTCCTGGACATGAGCAGACTCTGGGCTCCACTGAAGCTTGGAGCAGCACGGGAGGGAGGCTGCTGCCTTCCACCCCTCTTGGGAGGGTTAGGGTGAACACTAAAATCGTGCTCCACAAACCACAGGAAGAACTCACCAAGTTGAGCAAGGCAAGTATATCATCTATTTTCCCAACGACTTGGAACAACCTACACAATTTAATGGAGGAAAAAGACACAACACGAAAGGCATAGCATCAGTAAAACATGGTCCTAACGAAATAAAATACACACACGTCCTCTAGTGTTTCCTGATTACAATATCACTTAAAGATGTTATTTGTTTTGAAATTTGAGAAAGACTGGAAATATGCAGGAGAAAATGAGGGCCTCGGATCAACACTCCCTAGAACCACCCCCGGTAACCCTTTCACGCACTCCTCCGGTTAGTTTTCTCCTAACCAAGGCACGTAGCTTTAAACAGACTCAGAACAAGTGTAGAAAAAGACATATAGGGTTTGCATCACGTTGGAACAGACTTGGTGACTGATTCTCACGTGGATGCGGGCCGGCCATCTGGCCTGGCCCTTCCCTCCTGCGCTCTGTCCTCTTCCCCCACCCCGTCTGGCTGTCAGGGGCAGGCCTGTCCTGAGAGGGAAGGCCTGTCTGTGGGATCTCACAGCAGGGGGCACACTCCAGGAGGCCGGGCGCCCCGAGCTGGGAGGGCTGCGCCTCTGAGTCCAGCATCCTGGACACACCTTCTCCAGAAGGCCGAGCTCCATCCCACAGTAAAGGAAGGTGTGTTTCCCCGCTGCCGTTCCTGTCCACTTTTAGGGATGGTGTATATCACACCTGTTGGAACTGCCATTCAGCGGGGAGATGATTTTATACTGATGCAATAGACTTCATCAGAACTGAACGTGGAACGCTGGATGGTGACAGGAAGTATGAGCAGGGTGCTCAGGACCAGCTCGGGCAGTGGGACACAAAAATCGACCCCTTGCCCGGCCCCCCGGGCCTCCTCCCTGGGCTCCCCGCAACCCAACAAGCCCTGGGCACTGGGTGAATGGGCCGTGCAGGCCGAGCACTGGTACTGCGGGCTGTGACTCCAGAGGGGACAGCAGGTGGTAGTTACTGAGATGTGGTGCGTGCAGCCAGTCCCCAGCCCTCTCTGCCCTGCCTCACCCAGTTCCCTCGGCAGCTCTAGGAGGCAGCACTCCAGCTGCCCCATGTTACAGAGCGAGCTGGCAGGTGGCAGTGCTGGGAGCCAGGCCTGGTCTGGTCCAGCTCAGACTCAGCAATGCATGCTGCCTCCTGATGCCCACACCACTGTGCAAGGAGGGCACCACAGCCAGACCTATGCGGCACACGCCCACCTCATCCTCCCTCTCTCCCTCCTGATGGCCACACGCCCACCTCGTCCTCCCTCCCTCCTGATGGCCACACGCCTACCTTGCCCTCCGAGACCCTGGGGTGGCATGTCCCGACAGTATCATTTGCAGATGAGAAGTGGAGGCATAGGGAAAGAACAATGGGGGTGGGGCAGGAAGAAGGGTCTATTGATCCCAGCCCCGCAGAATGCAGTCCATGAGGGAAGGTGATGTGCCCTGCTGGTCACCCCAGTCTCTGCAGACAACCCTGGCACCATGCCACAGGCCTGCAGTCCCGGCTGAAAGTGACCAGGGTGGCTCAGTGAGGCCACAAGCCTGCAGTCTCGGCTGACAGAGACCAGGGCAGCTCAGTGAGGCCACAAGCCTGCAGTCCTGGCTGACAGTGACCGGGGTGGCTCAGTGAGGCCGCAAGCCTGCAGTCCCGGCTGACGAGACCAGGGCAGCTCAGCGAGGCCACAAGCCTGCAGTCCCGGCTGACAAAGAGACCAGGGCGGCTCGGTGAGGTTACAGGCCTGCAGTCCTGGCTGATGGCGACCGGGGTGGCTCAGTGAGGCCGCAAGCCTGCAGTCCTGGCCGACGGTGACCAGGGTGGCTCAGTGAGGCCAAGGACCACGCTGCTCCTCACCCGCATCCCCAGCACCCACACAACACCCGCCACGTAACTGCAAGAAAGTCAAGATGTTTTGACTTCAGCACCTGAAAAGCACCACCCCCCTGTACCTGATGTGTGCCGTCCACGCCACAGTCACGAGCAGAAACGTCATCAGGTACACAGCGATTTTAGTTGCTAGAAGTTTCCGAATGGTTGTGTCAAACTGCTAAATAAAGCAGAGCATCACCCTCAGAGGGAGACACGCGCGGCTCAGCAGCAGCTGCCTCGCTGGGGTGGTGCCATGAGCCCTGCAGGAGACCCCAGGCAGGGGTCCGGGAAGGTCCTGGCCTGGCTTGCGCTGCATCTGCAGCAGACCCTGGCTGCCCCCTCCTTGTCCTGGTTCAGACCCCTGCCCTCTGACCCCTCCCCTGCACACTGCAGTTTTCCTTCTGAGCGTCACCACCATGTGACCAGGTGTGAGTGGTGTGTCCCAGGTGAGCTCCGTGGGGGCCTGGCACAGTGCAGGTCCTCGATGAAGAGTGAGCGAGCCGAGGGCAGGACTCAGACGGCCGGGCCATGGCCTCGGCTGATGCCTTCCTTCCCCGTTGGCTCAGGCGAGCCTCCTGCACCCCCACCCCTCCAGGGCAGATGGTTCAGATAACGGCCCACATGGGGGCAGTGGGGCAGAGGGTGGCTCTAGGGTGTATGAAGGAATAATCGTTACGTTGTCAGCCGCCGTCGAGTGGGCTCTGACTCACGGCGACCTTACATAGGACAGAAAGAAACACTCGTCCAGTGTCAGTGTTTTGGCTACTGTGCCAACCTGAGGTCCCCTCGCCTCACTGGCCCTCCTCCGGCCATTGAACTCTCCTGATGATATGTCCAAAGCGAGAAGGCTGGATACTGTTCTGTCATGATCTGTAGGGTAGTCCCTGGCTAATTCTGGGAAGTAGCCCTTCCTCCTAGTCTGTCTTAGTCTGGAAGCTCCAGTGAAAGCTGTTTACCATGAGCGACACTGCTGGTATCTGAAGTACCCATGGCCTAGCTTCTAGCATCACAGCAAAACGCAAAGAACAATGACAGGAAATAAAAAGCATGATCAGTCTCACCGAAAAGAATCAGAGAGGAGAGAAAATCATCGTGCACAAAACGCAAACACCCGGCACTGGAACACCGGGGTGGGGCGGGGGCGGGCTCCCTCTTCCTGCTGCTGACACTCTGCTTCCGCCCCTTGGCTTCCAAGTGTTCTGACCAGAGAATGGGAGAAAGCGCAGTGGGGAGGCCGCCCTCCTTCCCCCTCCAGTGAGGAGGGTGTGCCCAGCAGGTCTTCTTGCCGGCAGGGAGGCTGCACTGCTGCGAGGCGGCCTTTCGTCCACTGTGTTAGTCTAAGCATGTGAGCTGAAGGGCCAGAGGCAGACATCCTCAGAAGCAGCGTGGCCGCCTGGCCCGCCAAGCTCTTATCACACAAGTAGAAAGGACACAGTAGGAGCTTTTGTCAGCTCTGCCCCTCATGACACACTCAAGATGGGGCAGCGAAACAGCCACTGGCCAAGCCACTATCATCTGCTGCCTGGATTTCGGCAAAGGCCGCCTACTTAGGTGCCCGACAAAGCAGACAGAGCGAAGCATCCCCACAAAGCTCGATACAAGCTGTCCCATCTCAGCTCAACATCCTCCAAGAGCCCCTTGTCAGTCTGAGTGAAAGCCAGTATCTCTCTGGGTCCTCTCACTCTGCGGGGACACACTGTCTCCCGGGGCCCCTGCAATGGCCTTCCAGCTGCCACGGGGAACCCCCTTTTCCCGAGAGGGCACTTGCCCGGGCTGCCGGCTCCCCCCACTCTCCACTAGACGCAACTGCTCTGCACGGCCTTCCCTGGTCTTCCTGTTGACAACTGTGAGTCAGCTTCCCCCAGCGACCACCACGTGCGCCCCCGGCCCACCCCCAGGCCACACTCATGGCTGATATCTCTCACGGGTGTATTTTAAAAATCTTTTAGTGGACTGCTTGCCCCACTGAAATGTCAGCTCCCTGAGGACAGGGATTCTTGCATGCTGTTAAACATGTCACTTTGAGGACTAAGGTGCCCCTGACCCAAGCCATGGTCTTTTCAATCGCCTTGCATACATGCAAAAGCTGGACAATGAAGAAAGAAGGCAGAAGAATTATTGAGGCATTTGAACTGTGGTGTTGGTGAAGAATACTGAATGGACTGCCAGAAGAACAAACAAATCTGTCTTAGAAGAAATACAACCAGAATGCTCCTCAGAAGAGAGAATGGTGAGACTGACTTGCTTACTTGGGACGTATCAATAGGAAAGACCAATCGCTGGAAGAGGACATCGTGGTTGGTAAAGTCGAGGGTCAGCGAGAACAAAGGCAGCCCTCCATGAGGTGGACTGACACGGCTGCAACAATGGGCTCACACACACCAAGGGCCACGGAGGTGGTGCAGGCGCAGGCAACGCTCTGCTGCATGTAGGTCACCACGAGTCAGAGCCAACTGGAGGGCAACAAATAACGTGTTCCCAGGACTTGGAACAGTGACTACCTGCTAATGAGGAAAGAAGGAAGGAGAAGCAGAGGGCTCATACAGCACATTGCCTGGGCAACCGATTCCAGAGTAACATCAAAACAAAGCACAGCAGAAGCACAAGTGAGGCCGGAGACATGACCTGGGCCAGCCAGAACCCCCAGCACTGTGCACCCCAGCCCCAAGGGCTCCACAGTCGCAAAGGAGATGCAGGGAAGGTCAAGACAAGGACCTTATCCTTGAAATCATGAGAAGGGATTTTGTGCTTCCTGAACTAAAACTCCAGATAGAAAACTCACTGCTCTACTGTCTTCGTTGGTCCTTTACTGGCACATAGGCCTCTGTCTGGGGAACCCAATACTTCAGCCTCTTCAGACTTCTTTCGTTGAAGGAGCCTGTTGGGAAATCACTGGATTTTCCATTTTCACTGGCTTCTGTGTTGTTGTTTTTCACAAAACAGAACAACGACAATCCCACCAGCCCACTCCATGTAAGGAGGTGCCCGTTGCTCCAGCACGCTCCTGAGGAAGTATGGGGGCTTTTAATTCTCCCCATGACCAGGCTGATTTCAAAGGATTGTCTTCTCTGAACAAGTTTCCACAGAGCCACAGGAGAATTATTCTGAGCTCAGAGTGCTCTCTGTGAGCCAACTAGGACAAACAAAGACTATGCAATAAAGTTGTATCTCCAAAAAGATGATCCTGACTGTGAGGGACTGTGATGAGATTTAGCCTTGAAGGACTTTCTTAGCTTTAACTAAGCCCCCTGTGCCTTTTCATAACCACACTGGCCGTCCTGACAGTGATGGCCCCATGGCCAGAACTTCCAAGCTCAGACAGTACTGGATGTGCCTCCACCCCGCAGGCCTGCTGGGAAGGCCGCTGCTCCTCAGCTGCAGTGGCCTGGCTGTAGCTTTCCAAGCAGCCCCTGGCAGCCCCTGCTCTCGGCAGCCAGGCCCCCTCTGGCGCGGGGCGAGAGCTGACCTGGAGCGATAGGACTTAAAGCTGAGGACCCTGTACCCCGCTTCCTGTAGGTGCTGCAGGGAACTGCAGGCGCCAGGCCGGCTCCACGTGCATTTGGCTTTCTCATCAAAATCCCATGAAAAGTACTGCTGTCACCTTCCACAGACGGAAACACCAAAGTTAACGCAGCTCATGCTACCTCCCAGCATCGCCCAGTCATAAGTGGGCCAGGACGAGCCCAGGCCTTTGAAGACCTTGAACGCTCACGGCCGCTGGCCCGGCTCTGAGCATGCCTGCATCTTCACACTTCCGCACCACAGCACTCAGGTCCGGGCAATGACACCAGCACTCACGAGCCAGGAGACTTCATGACACACACACGAGTGTGCTCACACACACACGCACACACATGTAAACACATGTGCCCTCATACATCCGTGATCACACATGCGCACAGCTGTCTGGGGATTTCCAAATGTCTTCAGAAATCGCGCTCAGCCTCTAAGACGCTAGCTGATGCAACTTAACTTAGAAAAGTTCCAATGACGTCGGCTATAAACGGAAACGGTTTTTAAAGACCCCACTCGTCCGCCCACCTCTGTGATAAAAGCCACACGTTCCCCACAGGTGCAGGTGGAGGTGTCTCCGCCTGAGGCCAGCTGGGTGTGCTGTGCTGCCTGCCCGCCTGCAGACCGAGGACCGACTGCGTAGGGGCTGCCTTCCCGCCCCAGTGAGCTCACCTCCTGGAGGAACAGAGCTCCCGAGTGACCTCTGTATAGAAGCCAACCCTCGAGACGCAGACTCTCCATCAGTAAGGTGGCCACCAATACGCTCTCGGAGCCTTTGCTTCCTACATGTCCTTTAAGGCTCAGCACGCGGGAACCACCTTTGTTCTTTGCTTGACCTGCGTGCCAAGCCCCAGGCCTGTGTCAGATCACAGCCCCTCCTGGAACCGCTGCCGGGCCGGCCTGGGCGCCCCCACAGCCCGGGATCTGTGGCTGTGGCCACATGGTGGAATGGGTTCCTGGATGTAGCCCTTTGCCTCGGTTCTTCAGGACAACAATCAGCTTGAGAAATTTTCCCAAGCCCCAAGTTACCTTTGCCCTAGTTTCTACCCCAGAGGTTTGGTTACATTCAGTTACTTTTGTCCAATTTGATTGACATCCCCTGGGTAAATTGTAACCAACTTGGTTTGATACTTTTTCTCTGGCCTGGGCTGTGGCCTACCCTGTGATTGGTCTATTTTACACACCATGCAGAGACTGGTCAATACGCCCATGAAAATGAAGTTACTACAACCTACTATGCAAATGAAGTGTCTATGGCCTACCAAAACGGGATTGGTCAGTTCGTGGCCCCGGTAGAAGGCCATGCCTTAAAACTGACAAGCAGTTTGTATATTTAAGCAACCAACCTCACAGAAGTTATTCAGAAAGCAGCAGGAAAAGCAGCAGCAGGAAGCAGAGACAGAGGCAGCAAGGAACCTCCCAAGAGCTGTAACATGGGTCAAGGGCTGTAACACTGAGGGTCGCAACAAATGGCAGAGCAGCAGCAGGAATAGGCAGAGAAGATAAGGGACCTCCTAAAAGACCCGTAACATGGGTCAAGAGCTGTAACACTGAACGTGGTGACAGGCAGCAGGACCAAGAAAAAGCCTGCACGGTTGAGAAGCTGAGGGAGCTGTCTTGTCCTGAAGAAGGGAGACTTGCCTACATGCTTCTTAATAAACCACTTAACTGTAAGTACGGTCTGTGAGTTCTGTGTGGCCATTGAAACAGATTATCAAACCCAGAAGAAAAGTAGAGAATGCCATGGGAAGGACAGGGGGTGTCAGAATCGGTAAAGAGGTTGGAGAGTGAAGGTGTGTTTGACCTCTACCTCATAGGGATCAGCCTTGGGCTGATCCTGGTCATTATCCCTCTTGAAGTTAGATAGGTTTGGACACTACTATTATTACTGCCACCATTTTACAGGCCACTCCCTTCTCCCGTAAGGCCAGGCCTGGGTCTGGCTGGCACTCAGGCCCCCCGGGTCTGGCACATGACCTGCCAGGGCAGGGAATGAGGTGGTGATGACGCTGATGGAAGAAGCACCAGCCCCCTCATCCCGTCTGCCCAGATGAGGCGTGTACCCAAGTGGGGGCTCCTCTCAGCCCCCTGTGCCTCTGAAGCGTGGGACGTATGCGGCTGGCTTGTCTGATCTGAAGCAGTCCTGGGTCCCCAAAATGGGACCAGGTCAGAGACCAATCGTGCCCAGGTCTCTGGACCCTCCCGACCAGAGGCTACCGAGAGGACAGTGCTTCCTAAGTACCTCTTCTGGGTAGATCTTCGTGTGGGTCACAGGCAGGATCTGCGAGAGCAAACAGACAAGAAGCATTTCTGGGGCTTGCATCAACCTAACGCCAGCGCTGCCCAGGACTCTGGTTAGCATGGGGCTGTCCCATGCGCTGCCTGAGGGGCTGAGGGTCCCAGGATGCTGCAGAGACCTGGGTTGGGGTCTCAGGTGGGTGGGGCACAGAAGACCAGGGCAGGTCCCACACTGACCATGACGGTGGCAATGATGGACAGCAGTGCGTCGCTGAAGCTCAGCATGCGGTGGGAGGACTGGAGCCCGTCCCCAGTGTCCTCGTCCGCCTGCATGTCCAGCGCCCGCTCTCGGGTCTGGGGCCCAGCCATGGTGGGGTTGCTGCCCGGTGGACACGGGGGCCTGGAAGGAAGTGTGCAGAGCTGAGAGGGGGCACTCAGCTCCTGTCGCGGCACCCTGGTGGGGGCCAGGGCAGTGGGGCCAGGAGGGGAGCAGCCTTCCTGGTTGGGGGCTCTGCTGCAGCTGGAGGAACCACCCTGCCCTCTTCCCTCCTATCTCCCAGACTCTGGGCTAAGGCGACAGCAGTGTCAGGCTCCACCCTGGCCCTGGCCCTGCTGGGCGCTATGATCTGGGTAGGGACAAGCTGCCTGTGCCTCAGCTTCCTGCTGAGAGGACGGAAGCAGGGGAGACACATGGCACATTGTGAGTGTGCGTGCACAGTGTCACCGTGCTCTTTATTGTGATGTCACCAGGGAGGGAAACCTAAACCCCCAACACTGCTGCTCTTAGATGCGTTTGTCTGAAACGTGGGAGAAAGGAGCGGGGATGTCCTGTAGCCCCCAGTTCCCAAAGGGCCTCGGAGGAGTCTGGCTGCACTGTGTGCTCCCTCCTGCAGTGTTTCCCGTAAGGGGCTGCACCCTCACTGCAGCCTTTGGGGAAATCAAGGCACTGTACCACGAACCAGCTCCTACACCTGGTCCCCACACCAGTGCAGGGTGTTATCACACCTTCTGCTGGCAGTGGGTGTCCTGTAGGAGCCGGGCTGAGCCACCACCGGGGCCGAGCTGCAGACCCAGAGATGTGTTCAGCCCCTGGGCCTGTGGCTCCCTTAGCACAGGGCCCTTTGTACCAGTGTCATGACGGCTTTGTTGAAGGGGAAAGAAAGACGCAATAGGCCCTTTTACAAGAAACAGGAGTTCTAAAGGCCAAGCTACCTGTTCAAGGTCATACAACTCTGAACTTGGTTCCCTTCCCACGGCTGTGGTCACCAGGGTGAGCTGTCCCCCCCTACACAGACATGGTAACCAGAGTGAGCCCTCCCCCGACAGATGCAGTCACTAGGGCGAGCTGCCCCCCACCCCCAACGTGGTTACCAGAGTGAGCCCTTCCCCTACAGATGTGGTCACCAGGGTGAGCTGTCCCCTCTCTACACAGACATGGTAACCTGAGTGAGCCCTCCCCCCAGAGATGCGGTCACCAGGGCAAGCTGCCTCCCCCACACAAACACGGTAACCTGAGTGAGCCCTCCCCCAACAGATGTGGTCACCAGGGTGAGCCCTTCCCCAAACATGGCCACCACAGAACAAGGCCCCCTCTCAGACATGGCTGCTGGGCTAAGCCCCCCCGCCCCAACACAGTCACTATGGGCAAGCCCCCTTCACACACATGGTTGCCACAGGATGAGCCCCCCGCCCCACAGACATAGTCATCGTGGGGCAAGCCCCCCTCCCCAGACATGGTCACCACAGGGGGAGAGCCGCCCCTCCCGATGTGGTCCCCAGAGCAAGCCTCTCCCCAAGAGATGCAGCCAGCAGGGTGAGCCTCTCCCCCAGAGATGCGGCCGGCAGGGTGAGCCTCTCCCCCAGAGATGCGGCCGGCAGGGTGAGCCCCTTCATACAGCCTTTGCTCGCCCGCCTGTGCTGTTGCAGTCACCTGCGCCAGCCCAGCCTTGGCTACACGCACCTTCCAAGTCGGCACTTACAAAAGTCATCACTAGGGCAGATCTATAAAGTCCTGGGGGACGAGGGACAAACAACCCAGCTTCCATATTATGTTCCAGACTGGAAGAGCAGGAGGGTGACCCTTGTGACATCTACCTGAACCCCACCTGTCTCCAAGCACAGATTCTGTGAGCCCCCACGGGGCGCTGTGGCAGCCAGTGTTCAGTAAACCTCTGTAAATAATTTACCCAAGGGGCTCATCTACACTGGAGCACAGGAAGTGGGTACCCCTGCCTGACAAGGGGAGCAATGGGGGCTATGGGAAAGCTAGTGAGGGGTACTATGAAGCTCCACAACGTGTGATGTCAGAGGTGGGTCCTGAATGACAGCAAGACAGGAGTGACATGGTCTGCAAGCCTGAGGCTGGAGAGACCATGAAAGAAGTTTCTAGTAGCTTGAAATTCTGATTTGATGCTGATTTGAGCTTTTGGATCCATTTCTGGGCTTAAGAATCAACAAAGACTCTATAAAAGGGGTTGTAACCTCAAATGCCTACAGCAGCCAGGCAGGTATAATGCGCCAAGTGAACCAGGTGGAGTCTATGAGCAACTGATCCTGTCCTACCTGGAGGAGGCTGTCAGCTGCTGTCAGATCAGCCTCCACTGTGACTAAGTTTTCATTGGCTGAATTTTTGGAACTAGACCACCAGGTCTTTCTTCCTAGTCTTAGTCTGGAAGCTCTTCTGAAACGTGTTCAGCATCATAGCAGCACAAAAGCCTCCGCTGTGCATGAGATGCACTGGCAAGAAATAACCCAAGTTTCCCACGTGGAAGGGGTGAATTCTACCGCTGAGCCACCACTGCCCTTCACCCGAAGGGGGGAGGTGCTAGGCAACGGGTGACACAAAGGATTATGGGTCCAATGCTGGTAGATTTGATTTCCCTACAGAAGCAGAAAACTGGATTTTTAAAACTTAAATTCCCCAGCCTTTAAATATTAGCAACTAATCCATTTCTACAAAACACAGTATAGACCAAACCCTCACAAAAACGAGTATGTGAGCCCATTTGCTGCCCTTCCTCTAACCGCAAGACACCTTTCAATCACAAACGCTCATCATGAACCCTTCCAACTGCTCCTAGAAGACTTGCTTTTGCCCGACAAGTGTCAGCTTGCGGGTGGGCCTCATGGTCACAGGGGCACTTCTGGCAGGTTTGCGGTTGCCCAGAGTGGCTCCAAGATTATCGGTCGCTGCCCTGGCCCACGCTACGATCTTCTTCCACCTCGAAGCTGCCCGGCTGCTGTGGCAGGGGAGCGAATTAACGTCGGAGCGTCGGCTACCGACTTTACTCATTAAATGTAACCCGACATTTCGATGTCCATGAAATAAATACTAAACACTGAGTGCTTAAGGTATACTAAATCCTCACGCTAACTCTTCGAGGTGGGAGCTGTTCGTTTCCCCACTTCGCAAGCGAGGTGCCATCAGCAACGGAGGGACGGATTCCACTCAGGGGATGGCAAAGAGCCTATTTCTACCAGAGCAACCTGAGGATTAAAAAAACAAAACCAAATAAAAACCAAACCTATTACCATCGAGTCAATTCTGACTCATAGCGACCCTATAAGACAGAGCAGAACTGCCCTATAGCGTTTCCAAAGAGCGGCTGGTGCATTCGAACTGCCAACCTTTTGGTTAGCAGCCGTAGCTCTTAACCACTGCGCCACCAGAGCTCCAACCTGAGGACCAGCCTCCCACAAAACGCGCAATTTACCGCCAGCAAAAAGCCCAGCGGGAGACCGTTAGGAGCTGGGCCACGGACCAGTCTACCTGGGCGACTCTCCGCGCGTCTCCGCAGCGGACAGTCCGGGACCGGAATTTCACCGACCTGAAGCTCGTCCCGTGACCGGCGCCGCCGCGCATGCGCGCTCCCCGACGGCCGCCCCGCCCTTCGCGCATGCGCGCTCCCGGCCGCCACCCCGCGCATGCGCACTCGCCGACCCTCCCCGCGCATGCGTACCCAGTCCGTGTGGCGGAAGTGAGGCGTCCGGCGTGCGTCCGGCTCCCTGCGCAGCCGGAGGCTGGGCCACAACGCCACCTGATGGTACGCGTTCTCCCGCGCTTCTACGTCACGGCGCCGGGGCGGAAGATGGTCGAGCTTAGGGCCGGCGGTCGCTGAGCAGACCCAGACGGAGCTGGAGCTCGAGCCCGGCCACTCGGGCTCCTCCGGGTTGCGCTGTCGCTGCCGCCATGTCGCTGCTGCAGTCTGCGCTCGATTTTTTGGCGGGCCCAGGCTCCCTGGGCGGTGCTGCCGGCCGCGACCAGAATGACTTCGTGGGGCAGACGGTGGAACTGGGCGAGCTGCGGCTGCGGGTGCGGCGGGTCCTGGCCGAGGGTGAGGCCCGGGGCCGTCGGCGGGGGTACGGGGACGGAGGCCACCTTCGGGGGCGCGGGGCTGGGCGTGCAGGGTCGTCGCGGGGGTCATTGGGGGCAGGGTCGTCACCAGGAGGGGGATGGGACGGGGTCGGTCCGGGAGTCACCGCTAGGGCGCGGGTCCTGGCGCGGGAAGGTTGTTGCGTCCGGAGGCGTAAGTCTGGACCGGCCACGGAGAGTCATGGCCGGGGAGCGTGGGTCGAGGCTTAGGAGTGATAGCCTTCTCTGGGGGTCATAGGTCTGGGCCGACCGGGTGGGGAGGGTCGCCGTCGGGGTGTAGATGGATCGAGGTGGGCTTGGGGAATTCACATCCGGGGTCGTGGGTCGGTCCAATCTGGAGAGGGTCACCGCTGGGGGCGTGGGTCGGGCTGGTCTAGGAAAGTCACCATCAGAGGCGTGAGTCAAGGCTTGGGAGGAGGGGGGTCGTCGCCCCAGGGTTTTGGGTCTGGGCCGGCCTGGTAGGAGGGTCACCGCCTCCAAGGTTGGCCGGCCGAGGGAAGCCGTCGCCAGCGGTGTGGGTCAGGCCACCTCCAAGTGACTGCAGGCGTGGAGGCAGACTTGGGATTGGCTATTTCATTGCTAGAGGTGAGGGGTCGGAGTGGGGCAAGGTAGTCTTAACTGAAGATGTGGGGCAGACCTGCGGCTGTAGGATCCTCCTCAGGGTCTGGGGGCCAGGCTGTGACAGCAGAGGAAAGGTGGGAGGCAGGCACGGAGCTTGGACCAGAGGCCAGAGTGGATCCGTAGGGCTGGAATCTGGAGGTGAGGAGTATGGCTGGACCGTAGTGTGGTTCACATCTAGTCCATAGTTTGATGGTGTGGGGGACAGGACTCCACTTCTGGACATCAGCGGCTGGCTCTCCCGAATTCTCAGGGACTTCAGACTTGGTAGTGGTCCCTGATGAGCCTGTCACCCTTACCTGGGTGTTCAGAAAGGGTAGACAATGCTATACCCCTTAATCCTGGGGTTTCTCCTTACAACCTGAGTGTTTCTCTTGCTCCTGGGTGTTTATTTGTTTGTGATTCCATGCGAATGACAGGAAGGAGAGCCAGCAGTTGTGAGCTGGACAGAACCTTGCAGGTCAGACAGGACAGTCCACTTAGGTATTTTCAGCACAGTCTTTAGTCAGGTCTGTTTCTGCATGCTATTTTTAGCTTCCTGAATGTTCTCTCCCTTCTTCACACAGAACTTACCATCACATCAGTGCTGTCCTGTTTATTTTTCTGAATTTTGCTTACATTTCGCCTAGGGGTGCCCGCAGGAGTGTGCCGGTTTCACTTGCTGTGAAGCTTACTGGTTAAACACAGTTGACTTCGGTGCTGGTGCTGAAACGCACCAGGAGAGGGGGTGAAACCACACATAGACTGAACCCTCATCTGGTCCTTGGCATCTCACGGGCCTGGAGGTTCTCACGGCAGGAAACCTGGCCAACTGTTCCGATGTCAATATTCCAAAACTGATGATAGCATCCCCAGACACTCCCCATACTGTGATCACAAAAACACATCTAGCCAGACTTAATGGTTTGATTGAGACTGGAGGGACCCCAGAAGACACGGCCCTCAACTGTTTCTTGGCCTAAAACTAAAACCATTCTCGAGGCCAACCCTTCAGACAAGGATTAGACTGGACTATGGGACATAAAATGATACTCGTGAAGAGTGTGCTTCTTAGCAAGTAGATACAGGAGACTAAACGGGCAGCTCCGGTCCAGAGGCGAGATGAGAAGGCAGAGAGGGTTAGGAGCTGGTTGAATGGGCATGGGACATCCAGGGTGGAAAGGAGCAGTGTCATAGTATAGGGAGAGCAACTAGGGTCACATAACAACATGTGTATAAATGTTTGTATGAGAGACCAACTTGAATTGTAAACTTTCAATTAAAGTACAGCAGTAAAAAAGAAGAAGACATCTTGGGGCTGATTTAGTGAGAAAACCCCTAACCTTTCTCCTTCCCAAGGTGGTGGCCAGCACCTCTGCTAATGTTTTGCCGTGAGCTCTTCTCTCAAATCTATGAGACCAGCCAGAGTTTCCCCAGACTGAGTCACAGTTATTCTGAAAAGATGGGCAGTTATCTTTGTTCTTTAAGAAGTTTGTGAGCATACAGGACGTGGTTTCTGCTCTTGCAGAACTTAAAATAAGACACATGCTCCAGTGACTGAGGGACCAACCAAGGGATGTGAAGAGCCACAGGAGTGGTGCAGACAGCACACGGGGTCCGAGAGTGATGACAGAGGCGTCCAGGAAGGAGCCAAGCAGACGGCAGGAGCACTTGCCCTGCAAGCCTTGAAGGGTGAATGTGTCCAGACGGGAGGGAGGGAGACTGCACCCCTGCCTGGTGCAGGGGCTGGGTGAGGCGGGAAATTGCAGGTGAGAGTTGGATGGTTGTCCTCTCTGGCAGGAGGCCAAGATTCATGTAAAGAAGGAAGCTCCACCCATCATCAGCACCCAGAAGGAAGAACCAGGAAATGTGGCCAGAAGCTGGGGTCATGTCTGCAACACCTTTCTCATAGCTGTCTAGGCAGGCCGAGGTATAAAAATAACCAGTGCAACTGTGAGCCAGAGTTCCTCCTCTTAAACTTAACAGGTGGCTTGTAGCTTCCAAAGCATTTTGAAGCCTCTTTCAGAAATGAAACAGGGTGAGAAACCTGTTTAAGTATTTTACACGCTAATGTTTACATTTATCCTGGACAGCAACCTCCCACCGTTGGCGGTGGGGATTCAGCCTGTCTTATGTGAAGATGGGGAAGGTCCTTCATGTGGACTTCCTTGGCCGGATGCTTAAAAACACAGCTTTTCTGGCCTTGGAAAGATAATCCAGTGCAGATCCTGCTTTCCTAGAGTACTCCCAGTGGGGCTAAGAGAGCATTCTGCCAGCAGACACACTACTGTGTCTTAGCTGAGTGATTGAGCAATCTTGCTGTGGGATAGTTAGCGTCCGTGGATAACTCATGCATCAGTTCATGTCAGCTTTGGCTGTCAGATAACTTAATGTTAGCTCCGGTTTCGCTGTTACATGAGTTAGGAGAAAACCTTGCTTTCCATAGTTTCTTGGATTTTGAACCTGCTTTGGGCAGTTAAAGAGGCCTGGTGTCACAGTGGGTTAGTGCTCTGCTGTTAACCAGAAGGTTGGCTGTTGGAACCCACTAGCCACTCCACAGGAGAAAGATGTGACAGTCGGCTTCTGTAAAGATTACAGCCTTGGAAACCCTATGGGGCAGTTCTGCTCTGTCCTGTGGGGTTGCTAGGAGTCAGAATTGACAGAATTGACATGACCGCAACGCGTTTGGTCTTTTGGTTGCTGGGCAGGGGCAGAACGGTGGAGCCTGATAGCTTTGTAATCTTTTCACAGTTTGTTCTAAGTCTTCATTGTCTTGAAAAAGCAAATTCCTGGGAGTGCCCACAATGCCAGAGATGCCCAATCCAAGTGGATTCTAGAACCTCAGATACGTTTCTTGTGTTCTGTTGTTGAGATCCTGCATGCTGTTACTTCTTCCCGCCAGGAAGAGTAACTGAGAACGGTGACTGCTGCTTACGGAAGGATTTGCCTCAAGAAGGTTGAATCTGTTGTCTTCAGTATGGCTGACTATTCCTCCGTGAGTTTACTGCCGCGCGGAGATTAACGGAGATAATATATGGAGTAGCACTTTATGACATGAAAGCAGTGCTGCTTGCAATTGTTTAATGTAATTTGTTTCATTGTATTTGATTGGGTGTTACATGTAACGTCAGTCAGTCAAAAATTACTTGCTTTGAACATTTGTGTGTCATGTAAGGTATTAATCACGATTATGTATGGAGTAGCACCTTAATGAAAACAGTGCTGTGTGCAACTGTTAATTTAATGTAACTCATTCCATTGTATTTGATTAGGTGTTACATGTAATGTCAGTCAGTCAAAAACGATTTGTTTTAAACATTGTGCGTCATGTAAGGTATTAGTGTCTCGGGAGGACACTAGACACGCGTACCGTGGCTCCACTCTGGGATTTGTCTTTTCTGTGGATTGAGAGCTGACCTGTGGAACTGAGGGCAGAGTCCACACATGCTCCGGGGCCGCTTCGTCATAGTCCTGGTCTCTTGATCCAGCTGCCTCCTTGGCTCCCCTTTCGGGGGGCTCTTCCCTTGACTTCTGTGGCTCCTGGAAGCCTCCAGGGCCTACGTCATAGTGTTTGGATTGGGTGATGAGCAGGGAACGTCTGATGCTGACTGACAGCTGCAGAATTGTGTGGTGCAGTCAGGGCTCTTGGTTGCAAGGCTCAGAAACCACTGAGGCTAGCTTGATGGAAGAACTGGAACTTATATTGGGTCGAGATATTCTTGATAAATATCAACATAATAATACATTTTGTGGATGTAGAAGTGGCTTGTCAGAGGGCTGTAGCACAGTAACCGGGTAGTGTGTCCTTCTTTCCACACATGAGGTGTGACTGAGACCCTGCATCCCCAAGACTCTGCGGTGCTGTCGTCTGACAATGACAGTGTCTTCTTTCTTGTCTTTGGTGGTTTCACTATCCTCGTTTCTTTGCACCAGTCCCTGGAGCCAGAGCCCTGAAGTGCAAGGACTGCTGTAACCAAGAGAGGGCTACTGCGCAGGTGTTCTCTCTTCTCTAGACAGCACAGGGAGTCCCTGGGGGGTGCAGACCACTAACCAAAAGGTTGGAGGTGTGAGTCTACCCAGAGATGCCTCAGAAGAAAGTCCTGGTGGTCTACTTCTGAAAAAAATCAGCCTTTGAAATCCCTACGGAGCACAGTTCTACTCCGACACACATGGGGTTGCCCTGAGTGTGAGTCGACCTGACAACCTCTGGTAGACACCACGAAGCTCTCAGAACCCGGGTCCTTGCAGCAGGGTTTTGGGGTTTGGGTGGCTGGTTCTAAGTCACCAGGACTGGGTGGCCCATGTCTTGTCCCACGACCAGCGTGGCACCCACCAGATCAATCGCCCACTCTCTTAGCTCTCCTC